TACTGGAAGCCCATATTACTGTAATCCCGAAAGCAGACAAAGACTCAGTCACTGATTGAGTCAATGTGCTAACTACCACCCTTTTTCTCTACTGAATGTGGATGTGAAACGTAATGCTAACCTCTGTCTTCCCCTTCTCCATATGTTAATTGACCTGAACCAAATGGGTTTCATCCCTGGGTGGTAATCGAGGGATAATACCACTAAAGGCTATCATCTTACATTATTTTATTTAGGAACAATGGGTGCCTGGGATTACATGTCTGCCACTTTGTGCCACTTGGGTCTCAGACGCATGATGCTCTTTCACATTCTTGCACTATACCAGACCCCTGCCTCAAAGGTGAACGGATGCCTGTTGGATGCATTCAACATAAGTAACCAGACAGGGACTTCTGCTCCCCCGCCCCCCTTGATTTTTGTCCTATCTTTGGAATCCTTCCCCTGGCGACTCTGTATGGATCTCAACATCAATGGTGTTGTCAACCCTTTTAAAGAATTTACGATTGCTGCTTTTGCCGATGATCTGTTGCTCTTCCTCACACAGCTGACCATTTCCCTTCCAAACCTGTTGAAAGCCTTCAAAGAATGTGATATCTCCCATTTTAAAATCAAGTGTCAAGTCATGCACACTTAATCTTATATTCCCCACACATGTGGTAGCTACCTGGGGAGCACATTTACCCTTTACCTCTGAGCTGAATGCTCCTACGTACTTGGACATCAAAGTACCATCTAACTTGATGGCCTTATTTTGCTGAGGGGGGAGGGAGAATAACGGAATAGCTAGGGTCAGTGCAGCTATCCTTACAGCCCCAAAACTTGACGCAGGCATATGGCTCACATCAGAAAATTCTATTGGGTGTGCCATCTAAAAAGAGTAGTTGATTGAAATATACTGTACATAAGCTTAGCAATTATCCACCAATATCCAGATTGAGTCCTAACCTTGGATTAGAAAAGGCTTCCTTACTTTATTGCTGGTGTCCCGCCCAACTATTGGCACAGCTTTGACAGCATTTTACACCACCTTAAAGAGGTTCACCACTTCTAGCCTGCTGGGGTCTCTAACATCGCTGCAAATCAACCCCGATTTCCCCTCAACATCCTTTCTTAGCAGCTGATGGTTGGCCCCCAATGTTCATTCTATGCAGGACATTCTGAGACCTCAGTATCTTGAACACTGAGAACCTGGATAACCCTACCATTTTGGACATACATTTAAATTTACCACTTTCCCAGCTCTGCTGATCACAGGAGCTCTAGCAGCTGAACACTCACATGGTTTGAAAAATTGTGCCTCCCCAAGACACCACTTTTCCACCTAATCTCAGAGATTTACTCATCCTTCTTCCACTTCCTTTCCCAGGAAGCTGGTCTCAGATGCACATTTACTATTGAAGAATTGGGTACAGGACTCCAGTGCCCCTCCACCCTTTTTTCTCCAGGAATTCCTGCTAATTGATGGAGATCAGGATTGGGTAGGCGGGCACTTTTTTGCACATCTGGTCGTCTTGTCTATGCATTCACACATTCTGGAAGGAAGTACATGGTATTATGACCCTCATTACTGTCTGCACCTTAGACTTAAAGTCAGCGCCGTTTCTCCTCCGCCACTCCAACAATCTAAATTCTCTTTAATCTTACATCTTGTGAACACAGCACAAGCCTTAATCCCAAGACACTGGAAGTCCCTACAAATCCCCCAACAATAAAGGAATGGCTCACCCATATAAATACAGTGGTGGACATGGAATAGCTCATCCACATCTGGTGATCAGGTGCCATCATCAGGTGGCATGTGTTCAAATCTTCCCCAACCTACAAGACCCTCCCTACATAATGCATAGCTTTCATCCCCTTCACATCACAACTGGTTCAACCACAACAACAATCACAACAGACAGTTATTACGTATGTTTATCATCCTCCCCAGGAACCTAGTAACACTGGTTTGGTTCAACCTGAGCAGGGGCTAGCCTCCCCCTGCGGCCCTTGCTTGACCCCATTTATTAAAACTTCATGCTCCACCATTCTACCTTGCCTCCCTTTAGCCCAACCACATTACCATGTCCTCCTCACTTTTTTACCACTTTGTCTCTGTTGTCTGTTGCCTGACGCTTTCCGGCCCCCTTGCATGCCCCCCACTACCATGTGGGTCCCAGTCATTCCAAACACCCTACTGGCTTAGTTAGTTTTTGTATGTCACGTCATTTGCAATTTTTATTAATTGTGCCATACAGTGCTATACAATGTGTTACTGCTTTAAAGACAAGGAATAAAATTAAAACATAATTTTGTTTTGCCATGGCTTTTTTTTTAATGCTTTGTCTGTAATATTGTAAACAATAATGTTCTATTGTAATTATGCAAAAAAAAAAAAAAAACACAAAACACCTCTGATCCTAGTTAACAAAAAAATGATTTTTTTTGGACAGTGTGGCGACGACCTTCGACAAGACATGCTCACCTTGCAAATGATTCGCATCATGAATAAAATATGGATACAGGAAGGGCTTGACATGCGCATGGTAATTTATCGTTGCTTTTCCACAGGCCGAGGGCGAGGTAAGTTCACTGTCTGAAAATAACTACTGAATTCTGATAATCAGTTACTAGATGTTTTCTCAGGATGTTTGTGCAGCAGATCAGACAGCAGCACAGAATTTGAAATTGATGGCAGCAACACTTCTCAAAAATGTTGGCACAGGGGAACAAAAACCTGGCAAAGTAAATGATACTAACAAGGAAAAGCTGGAAAAATATTTTGCAACTAATTAGGTTAATTGGCAACAGGTCAGTAACATGATTGGGTATAAAAAGAGCATATTAAGGTGGCCATACACTTTACAACCATCGCAAGACCTTAGTCTTGCGATGGTTGTAAAGAAATTTTAAAAACGTACGATCTGCCCCTCTTGGTCAGGCAGATCGTACTTGCAATCAGCGGGGCGGGCTTCCAATGACCGCAATGCTGAACGGGCAGTGTGCGCGTGCGCACACTGGCCCGTTCGGCATTTGTCTCCCGAGCATGCCACAAACCAGCCGAAAATCGTAAGATTTTCGGCTGGTTTTCGAACATGCTCCTTAGACAAAAGACGTGCGACCGTACAGTAAAAACGATCGCAGACCTGCCATACACTTTGCGATTATCGTAAGATCGCGGGATGTCCAGCGATTATCGTGCGATAATCGCACAGTGTATGGGCACCTTTAGAGAGTCCGAGTGTCTCAGAAGTAAAGATGGGCAGAGGTTCACTAATCTATGAAAAGCTGCGTCTAAAAATTGTTGCACAATTTCAAGATAATCTTTCTCAACGTAAAATTGCAAAGACTTTAAATATATCACTATCTACAGTACATAATTAAAAAAAAATCAGAGAATTTGGAGAAATCTCTGTGCGCAAGGGACAAGGCTGAAACGCAATATTGGATGCCCGTGATCTTCGGGTCTTCAGACGGCACTGCTTTAAAAACAGTCATGATTCTGTTATGGACATCACTGCATGTGCTCAAGAATACTTCGAAAAATCACTGTCTGTTTTTGCCATTCAAAAATGTAAATTAAAGCTCTATCATGCAAAGAAGCCATATCTGTACATGATCCAGACACGCGGCTGTCTTCTCTGGGCCAAAGTTCATTTAAAATCTTCTGTTGCAAAGTGGAAAACTGTTCTGTGGTCAGACAAATCAAAATCTGACATTCTTTTTGGCAACCATGGGCGCCTCATTCTCTGGACTAAAGAGGAGATGGACCTTTTGGCTTGTTAACAGCGCTCACTTCAAAAGCCTGCATTTCTGATGGTATGGAGGTGTATTAGTGCGTATGGAATGGGCAGCTGGCACATCTGGAAAGGCACCACCAATGCTGAAAGATATATCCAGGTTTTAGAGCAGCATATGCTCCCATCCAGACAACGTCTTTTTAAGGGAAGGCCTTTTATATTTCAGCAGGACAATGCTAAACCGCATACTGTATCTATGACAACAGCATGGCTTCATAGTAGAAGAGCCCGGGTGCTTAACTGGCCCGCCTGCAGTCCAGACCTTTTACCAATTTAAAATATTTGGCACCTCTTGAAACGAAAAATGCGACAAAGAAGACTCAGGATTGTTAAGCAGTTAGAATCCTATATCACGCAAGAATGGACCAACAGTCTTCTCTTAAAATATCACAAATGCGCTTCTGCAAGAATGGTCAAACATTCCCATAGACACACCCCTAAACCTTGTGGACAGCCTTCCCCAGAAGAGTTGAAGCTGTTATAGCGGCAAACGGTGCACCAACTCAATATTGAACCCTACGGACTAAGCCTGGGATGCCATTAAAGTTCATGTGCGTGTAAAGGCAGGCATCCCAATACTTTTAGCAATATAGTGTATATATTGTGAGGGTGTTAGCTCAGCAGGGAGTGTGTGTGACTCCCTGGATGAGTTCACTGCACAGAAAATAGGCACAGCAAGTAACAATTTCTTCAAGTGAAAACACACGTGCAGTTTATTTATACTTATGAAATTAATGGTAAAAGCCGCGCTGTGTGAATGAGACCGCAAAGTGTCAGATATAGTAGATGCTGACCTTGGAGTAATGTGATACAATGTGTAAAAAGTGCAAAACAAAAAAGAAACGCATGTATATAACATGCACCTTAGTGTAAAAGTAATTGCTACAAAATATCCATAATGAAAAATCAAATGCACTAAATATTAACTGTGAATCAATGTGATGCAATGTGCAAAGAATACCGACAAGAAAAACGCATGTGTGTAACTTGCACTCCAGTGAAAATAATAAATGGTTAAAAAATGTCCATGATCCTGGATCTTCAATAGTCCATTAAGTAAATAGAAGATAAAACATTGGATGTAGAATAAACTTAGTCTCCTGTGACCATCAACAAAGAAATCTTCTGGAATGCACCTCACCTTTAGCAGAGACCCACCAGGGTCTGTATGCGCTGTTCCTCTAATTCAAAACAGGTAGAGGAAGCACCTGATGTCGAATACCTCCGAGTGAATTCCTCCTCTCAGGTACAGACTCTCTTGCAGTCTCAGGATTTGGAAACAGACAGTTCATCCGAATGGCCCATGCATCAAATAAAATAAAAAGTGGAAACTCGTAGTGCAGATGGTTTTAAAAGGATACTAGACTTTATTAAAAAAAAGGGGAATACTACTCACAAATCATAGATAAAATTGAGGTATTTTGTAAGCAGCCACAGATACTGTGTGCAAAT